ATTTTCATATTTCAATGGTATAATTCACAAAAGTCTTTTGCTTCTCGTTAGAAAATAAAGATGAAAGTTAATCAGTTTTGTCACAAGGTTGTAAGAAGAATCAAATAATACAAGATTCTTTCGTCGATCTCTGTTGTCGAATCGTACTTATTACGACTTTACTCAAATAGAGATGGTGGATGATAGAGATGGTGGCGGCTCGTAGCGGAAAGTTGGGAACTAATTAAGATGGTGTTTAGCTAAGATTCGAACCTACTTAGTTGATAATTAAACCGCTGAGCTGAGGTTTTTTAACGAGTTCTTTAGGAACTACGCTAGATAACGCCAGACAGCCTGTCTAGTTGCATTTTAATAAATTCAACTTCAATCGTGTGTTTCCGATGTTATCAAACGACGTTTCGATTGTTATCGAAACGAGTGCTCGAAACACGAAAGAAATATCATTACGTCGAAGAAGCAAGAAGATATTACAGCATAATAAAGCCGTATAATTGTAAATAGTAAACAGAATATAAATTATGGTTTGAAATATATATTAAATCATTTTAGAAATATATTTTTCTTCCATGCAGTCTACTTTTTACTGAAGTTTCCATCGTTTTTGAAACGCGTCTCGGTCATAATACCCGAGAATAATGCAGGAAAGAAAATGACGATTCAAATATTTCATCAGTAATTACGAGATGCGAGTAATTGCATTTTGAAGCTTCTTCGGTCTGCACAGTGATGCTAATGTTTAAAAAACTGCGTTTCCCGCTAATAACTCCGGCAGCGAGCAAATTGGATTTTCTCGTTATTCGTATTAGCGCTATCATAGCCTATTCGGATTCAGGAATCGAGTTTCACATATACATTCATTCGAACTTTCAAAGTACGCTCGTACTGTCGTTGCTGTCAATTTGTCCACGGACTAAATAGATTTCATAATGTCCGGCGGTGACAAAATGAGAGACAAAGCGCATGCTTGATTTTTCGTGGTAAAAGGCTACGTTCTCGTTCATTACATTTCACGGAGAACTCGTGCAAAAGTATTCGCGCGAAAATCTCCATTGGGGAGAGAATTTCAGGTATTAAAAGCCTAACGTTAAGACTTTAACACATCGTCGACAATTTCTTCATCGTCCTTTGTCGTCTCAGTCGCAGTCGAGGTCACAAATGAGGGGAAATCGCGATGTATATCGACTTTCCGATGCCTGCGAGGCGATACGTATGTCTTCTCTTATTAATGTCGGCACAGCTGGCGCGAACATCGCAGGACGGCCGACAGAATCGGGAAAATTAATTGTCGTCTTCCAAGAGTGCGCTCTATCTTCTCCAGGAGAAGGGACTATGTGGATGGATATCAAGCAACGTAACACATTGTTTGCAGGTGCGATTAATCAACGTTGCCCGGTCGCCCCGGTATCGCGGGAATTCAATTCAATTCAATTCCGGCCGGTGCACCCGCACCTCGACACTTTTCTTCGTCTCGTGTAAAACTTCTTGCGTCCGTTACTTGTTGAACGCGCGAGCGCGCGAACTCATTGCCAAAAACTCGAGAACTCGAGAAGTACACAGCATTCAGCCGGGCACCGCCTGCGAGGATATCGTCGATCAACAAGCGGAAAATGCACTAGTTGAAACAAGTAATATGTTTCCTTCATTCATCGAGAGGATCACCTCATCGATGGAAAGCTAATTTTTGCTTCGATGGTATTCTTACTAATTAGTATAACATGCGCGTGAAGGTATGATAAAATTTTAATACAGCGTCATCACTGTGTCAGCTGTGTTTCATCATTAGTGACAAAGAATGTACCGTTGGTACGAAATTTCTTTTTATATTTTTATACAATCAACATCCTTTAATAACAAAGAAGCAAGACTTTGTGTTGGCACGGTATGTAAAACATCGTTTCACTTCTTTATCGCTAATAAAACTCCCCTTAACGTCGACATTACGACCGGACTACTTTTTAATACGGCAATCTGTATTAATTCGGGGCGTATATATACTTGTCAAAGCGTATTTAATCATCGCGCGGATTTTAAGGATCATTAAACGCGAAACATGTAGGTCGAACGTACATAAATTTGGTACCAAGGAGTATCTTTTCGTTGGCTGCTCTCGTTAGCATCGTAATGTACGCTAAATAAACATCGGAAAGTTTTTATGCATTCATACGAAACTGGAACGACTTTTCTCATCGTAAACCTACGAAGCACGTGCCTAAGGTGGGTAATGAGAAGCAAGAAACAAGAGGGAATGAGGAGATTATGCTCTTGGCAATGGGGCGTAATAATAGAACATGCGGCGAACTTTCGCAATATCTGTATCCAACTTTCATTGCTTAATACAGACTGCGTTCGGGGCGTGAGTAGTTTTTTAACCTTAGTCTCTGGTTCTCTTCCTTTACGCGTACGTATTAGATCTATTCCGGACGTGTCATCCGTATTTCATTATGAATATAGTCTTTCATAAAATTCGCATCGCACAACTTTAACCAGTGACTCATTATTTATGCTGAAATAAATTTTTCTGACAGTAGAAGCTTCTGTTGGCTCGTTATTAGATGAAATTTTGTGAAATTTTCATACGCGAGAATATCGCAGATATTCCACAGAAATCATTTCGCTCGCTTTTGTGTTACAAGCGAGTGAATAATAGTTATATAACTGTATTGCGAATTAATTAATTAATTAATGATCCACGATATTACCACGATAGTATTAACGTATTCGTGAAATATATGTTTCAACATTTTTTTTTCAAGCCTGAGGCTGCACGCGAACGTTCTCGATCTGTCTGTTCGAGTATGCGAATGTAAAGCAGCGCACGAATTTTACAAGCCCGCAAATATATTTGCTACCTCGAAAAATCTCCCGTACTGTACGTAAGATCGATTTTTCCCCGAGCGAAATGCAAGCGAAGAGAGAAAACATGGAAGCGTCCACGTACGCAGCCTGTACAGCGCCTCTGTCGCGCGTCTAGTTCGCAAAGTTACCGCTAGGCTTCGCAGGCGTGATATACTTCGCTCGTAGTTAAAATTGGATGTAGCCGATTATAAATTGTGGCGTGTAACGGCGGAAAGCATACTTACCTGGCGCAGAGGTTACCGTGATCAGGAAGGCGGTTCCTCCAGGGCGAGGCTCTTCCATTGCACCACGGTTGAGCTGACCCTTGCGAATATCCCTAATGTGGATATCTCGGGCGTACAATTTTTGGTAGTCGGGACTGCGTTCGCGCTATCCCGGTTAATAGAACTCAAACAAAAAATCATCTTTCTCCCCCGCCCCTATTCAAGGTTATGTGCGGTTAGGGAATAAGGCCAACGAGCAGACACGACGAAGTCAGTTCCCAATCTGAAGTTTGAGACAGAAAAAGATGCTCGGGGGTAGTAGTGCAATGTGACGTATATAAAGTTCCAATCTCGAAATCAGGAGGGGGGTGGTATTTAACGTTCAATATTTGTGCATCTAGTAAAGAGAAGGGAGAAAAAGGCCTCTCTGTAGCACACAGAAGTAAAGTCAAATAGAGAGAGAGGGAAATCTCTTCAAGTTTCTCCTGAAAGGACTCATCGCTCGAGCGAGTGGAGAGGAGAGAAGCGCACGGAAGTCTATTCTCTGCGGAAGAAACATGTGGCTTTATTACTACTCTCTAATACACGGGGATGAATTCTTGACTACGAATGGACGGAGTTCTCGATGTCGGTTTTGTGCTACAAATATTTTTACTAACTTTTAATATAAGTAAAGTTTTCCTTGGCGCGAGCCAATTCGCCCAATGTAGACTTTTTTAGCATCTTGCAAATAGAATCATACTTTTGCAGGTAATGTTGGACAATTTGAAGCAGTGTGAGATTGTGTGTGCAATTATATCAAATAAGTAAGTATTAATCAATGAAAAGAGATGTTTGCTTGCTTATTATATCGTAAGTATATTTACTACGTAAGATAAAAGTGTTGCTGGTTATTACTTATTTGAAGCGTAGTAAGAGAGCGAGCAAGATGAGAGATAACACTCCAAAGAGTGTTCAAGAGCTAAGTAAGTTAATAAACGAGTTACACGTCCCATCGTGACTCACATAAGTGAGTGCTCGCCGACTGGTGCTGCCATCGCAGTCACTCGGGCGGGCAGTGATAAGAAATATAAATCTATGTTTGCACGCGATGCATGCGAGATACAAAGTAATTATAGCGCGCAAACTGTATTGCGGTATCTTAAATGTCCAACGGAATGCAGCGCATAGAGATGGTGTTTCAACGACTGCAAATATCTCACAAATTGATATCTTAAACGTGTCTCTATGATCCGGAATTTCACTGAAAATCGTTCCAAATAAAAAAGGTTGCGCATGTATATGTGTGTGTGTGTGTGTGTGTGACATACAACCCTTTTACAATATCCTGCATCTGAACGAGAAGAGCAGCGCGAACGCGATAAAGTTTATCAATTTTTCGCATTCATTCATAACAATGCGCGCGATCGGACTTCGCACAGAAATCATACGCCGCGTGCGATACGTCGATCACGATAGAGTGCCAGGTATTATCCTGGCTCGCATACACCAGGTGTCCTCGCTAAAATCATTCTCGTGTCGACGAGTCCGAAGAACTCAACTCACCGTCGAGACAGACCGCGGCTCTCGCGGCTTTCGGGATTAGCGGGTCGAGTCGAGGTGTCAAGACGTTGATACTTCACGTAGGAAAGACCGAGTTTGGCGGAGGACGGGGGATGCGCGGGGAGGGTTTCAAGAACATCCGGTAGAATTTCGCGAACTTTCCCGTATGCGCGAGCACACCGAAACGAGTGTGAGTATCGGTGCGCGCGAAATTGTTGCCTTTAAATTCCATTAAAAGCTGCAGCCACTAAATCATGGTGCCCCATGGGGATATCGTTCGAGCATGCGCTCGCGCCGGCTGCCGCTGTTCTCGTGGGAGGCGAGATGCGCGAGTAGGAAAAGCGAGGACGACGGGACGACGAAGGCGCAACATAGCGCGCGCCCCGTTACATTCTTCTCGCGCGTGGGGTTGAAACGCTCAGTCGAATCGCGACACCCTGCGTCGAAGGGTCGAGCGCGCGCGACAGAGTCGCTCTTCTCTCGTTGCTGACCGACGTCGGGGGATCCCCTGTCTCCCCCGTGAGAGCTTGATGTGCGCGGCAAACAGTGTTAGCCATAGGCGTCACTTATTTTCATTTCTTTTCCGTGCGTAATCCTTCGAGAGGAGGAGGGAAAACTCAACTGCTCACGATCGACAGTCTTGATAAATTAAAAAAAGAACAAGGATACCGAGGAGCTTGTCAGACGCTGAGACGCTGAGAGCAGGAAGTCGAGCAGCTGCCCGTCGTCGGCCGAGACGTCGGTTCGTACGATGCGAGGAGATTAATTTCTCGACGAATTACCAAGCGAGAGTGCATCTTGCCGCAGAGCCGCGATTCCGCTCCACGGTCAGTGCGTATATCCCGGAGAGTCCGAAGGCGAGCATGAGTACCGCACATGAAACCGGAGAGACATTCCCGCCGAGGAGCCAGCAGTGATACGATTTCCCAGCGGCAGGGGCTACGATCGCGGCATGTCGACGAGCGATCGCGCGCGCGGCTAATCGGACGCGAGAGCGGGAGTCTGCTGCTGCACGTGCGTGGCCGCGTATCCGCGACCGCGGTTGAGAGAGAGAGAGAGAGAGATCGCACTGTTCGCCCGGTCGGGATCGCACCGAGGTGGCCGCGGCTGGAGCAAGGTCGTGTCAGGGTCGCGGAATCCTGGGGAGAATGTGGAGGAAAGACGTGACGCTCGCCAGGTTGATCGTCGCCACGCTGATTTCCCTGTCGGACGGCACCGCCGCCGGAAGCTGCAGCTCCGCGAAGCTCTGCTGCCAGGGCAGGGACTCCGGCTGCGTCATACAGAAGGAGTCGCCGAACGCGATTATCCAGAGCCCGCGCGACAAGCCGTGCTACTGCGATCACGCTTGTCTCAAGCTCGCCGATTGTTGCGACGATTTCAAGGAGACCTGCGGCGGTACGTGCTCTCTCACTCACGCTGCGATCTCGCGCGGCAGGTTGATGCGCCGATATGCGGCGATAGGGGATAGGGGATAGGGAGGGGGGAGGGACCGGCGAACGGCAAAATTGACGGCCGAAACGCGACTGATCGCGAGGAGAGACACTGCGGTTTCTCGCAACGAATTCTCGCATCTTTCGTCGGAACGTCGGAGACGATCGATCAAGGATGATGAAAGGGCAAAGATAGGGTCGACGATAAGCCTTCTCACGAGAAAGCGGTGATTACAGCGGTAACCTTTCGCCGCGATAACTCGACTGATGTTGATAACGATCGTGCATCATTCGCGTGGGAAGTAATTCGACGTCCCGTCTATTGATCGCGGGGTTATCGGTGACCGTTCGTAGGGAGGGCTTAGATGAAGTGGTATTAATTGTAAAATCAAGTTTGGCAAGAAAGACGTTCAATTTTGGAAGGAGAATGGCGTTAGACACTGATTGATCGACATAACAATGTCTGTCTCTCTACCCATGAGCCGTAAGACTCTTAAGCATGCGCTTAACATTCTGGATTTTCCGGGATTAGACGGGATCTTAAGGACGTATCCTGTCGCTTTAATTGCCAAGTAGCCCGTCATTAATTATGAAATTTTAATTAACATGAACGACTTGCGATGGACGTTACTGAAAGACCAGACCACATTCTAAGTTCTAAGAATTGTTCTATCTTCTGTGATCGGTCGATGAAAAACATTTATTTCATTCGGGCGCATAAATCGCATATCGGACCAACTGTGCGAGAAACATGATTCATTCCTTTTTTTTTATATGGAAGCCTTTACAGATCCAATGTCCGGTCCAACCAACTGCGTTAAAAAAAAAGAACGAAATAATAATAAAAACCGCGTACGAGCTATATCAATAATGCTGCAAGCTTCATGAGACTATTTCGGCAAGTATCGAATAACTATCAATCTATCGAATGCGTTTAATCGAGATCGATGGGCTTTCGCATGATCAAACCGTTTCAAATGATAGATGCCTCCGATAATTGCATCGTATGTTTGATACCCGTTATCATGTATATCGCCGAAATCGAGCATACAGAGCATTGCAGAGATCGAGAGGCAAAATTTCGTCAAGGGTGACCAATTCGTCCCTCGCGAGAATCGGTCGTCTGACAGGGTCGGTGGCCGGCGGATCTCTCATGAATTCCGTGAAGAACGAATTTAAGCGAATAAAACAAGCAAGAGAGAAGAGGAAGGGCGGGGGAGGGGGGGGGGGAGATACACGCACGCGTAAATCTCGGCACACGCGTGCACTTCGCGTTTAGGAGAAATAGCCCACAGGGAACCATTTCACATAGAGGTGGGAAGAATTATTGGCCGCTATAACAGCTAAGTAAAGCTGATAACGTTGACCCGACGAATCGGCCCCAGCAAAGCGTAAAAGTGAAGAATGTCTCGCGCAAATGTGCTCCGCGACTTATAGACTGCGCCCTCGCGCTCGCAGATTTTGGGCCCGACGTAAACGTAAACGTCGATGTGACGACGATGACGACGTTCGGTCGAATTTTTTGTCTCGGATCTCGAATCTCGGCCGTAATCGCGCGATTCGAAATCCACGGCGGTATCCGGTTCGTCGCATCTCCGCGCGTCGCATCCATTTTCGACGCGCGTCCAATTATACAATAAGGAAATATAATTTATATTTTCATATCAGAAATTCACAGTGGCGTTTCCCAATCCACTCTTTCCTCCCGCACAATTCATGAAATATCTTTTTCGTCGTCGCTGATCGTAATTCGCGCCGCGCCGGGGCGGCGTACGCTATCACGATTCTGTCGAAGTCCATCTCCGCATTATAAACAGTCGGTCCGTCGCCGCAGCGCCAGCGGGCAGCGGACAATCTGAATTTGTTCGACATTTTATGGGTCGCCGGGCGCGATGCGCCTGTTAACAGCAAAGGGATGTTACTCGATTCATTCCCGTTCGTTTGGCACGGTTATGCGTTACTAATTACCGGATAATCAATTGCCGCGCGAATCGGATTGTCCGTCGCGAACCGGATTGTTCCGAATGACGACAGCCGAGCGAAAGAAAATCACAGGATTCGCGCTCCTGTTGTTTATCGCGGATCAATAACGGCGCTATCGCGATTTAAAGGGAATGAAACCGTTCGTTAGGGATAAAGGAGAGACTTACTTCAACTATCGGAAATCCGGAAGATTGCAGAAGAGCCCGTTACATTTTTTATCCCCCCCCCCCATCCCCTCCCCTCCCCGCCCCCTTCACCGCGGAATGTTCATCTTTAATGCTCTGATTTTTGCCGTTCTGCGAAGCTACGAGGGAATCTGGCGCGACGAGAGAGCTTAAAGCCGCGATTATCGTGCCTCTTGGCCGACGAGGAAGAAGCAGAAGGAGAAGAAGAAGAAGAAAAAGAAGAAGAAGAAGAAGAAGAAGAAGAAGAAGAGGAAAAAGTGTAAAAAGAAGAAGAAGAAGAAGAAGAAGAAGGAAAAAAAGTGTCGGTTCCCTCCATCTTGAAAATGCAACGCGCCGCGGTCCTCTTAGCGGCTGAATTTCGTTCTTCGAGTGGCACAAAGCCGTCCGTCTAGAAGCAGGATAATCTCGCTCGCGTATCCTCGCGTCATCGTAGGCTCGGCACGCGAATTCGCATGCCTCGTAACGGTATCGACATATCGACAGTCGTGACGGCCGGGATGCATACACACACATTCGCACATGGCGATGGACTATATAAAAATTACACGAGAAGATTATTTACATCGCGAGATTATTTCTCTCTCTTCCCGCGATTTATTCTCAGCTCTCTGGCGCGGATTTAACGGATCACATCGCCTCGCTCATCGATATATGTACGCCGCATCCGCGCGCGCTCGGTATTCGTACGGTATCTCTAAATTTACGTCTCTGTAATTTTGTACACACGCGGCAACCTCGAATTTGTCTCCGACGCGGAGCGGAGCGCGCGAGAGACATTACGGATGTGATGAATGAGGAGGCTCGATGAAGAGACGGTCGGTGACGCACACCGCAACGGCGCGTCGAAATAACGCGGAAAAAATGTCATGCTTTCCTATTCACTTGGCAAGAGGGAAAGAGGGGGAGGGATAAAAGAGAGTTCCATCGCGGAAGTTTGTTTAGACACGGTTTCGCTGGCATCGTGTATAACGGCAACACGTGACAAGTTACATAGACTGTTACGGGCCAGTGACGGTGCATTATCTCTCCCATTACCCGACTAGGAGAACCTTCTGTATCGCGTATACTATTCGAGCATTCGCATTCAACGAACCATCGAGTAGCGAGCACGTGAAATAATTTAGTTCGGTGAGCACACAATCGATCGATGACCATGTCCTGGCAAAGATCGGGGTCGGCCAGGTGGCACGCCGTGAGCGCACACACTGCGCTGGAAAACGATAAAAGGAGCAATAAATAAGTACTTTGAGCCGCGATAAATAAGTAGTTTGAATCCGCGAGGAATGCCAAGCAACATGCAGCCCGCTGCAAAATGCAACTTTTATTTGATCGCGTCGCTAACGCAATCATGTTGACGCAATCATCTCTCTCCCTCTCTCTCTCTCTCTCTCTCTCTCTCTCTCTCTCTTTCTCTTTTCCCCTTTCATTTCTGTACAAAATATCCCCCGTGTATTTTTTTCCTCTTGCCGCGCACGAGAGCGAACGTATACGATAGTACCTTGAATTATTGCTGCATTCGATAACGAGAGGCGGAGTTGTGAATATGAAGTGTATACGTTACGAGAACTTTTTATTTTTATTTTTATCGTTTTACTTATATGTGTCGATTCTCACACACACACACACACACACACACACACACACACACACACACATATCAAATATGTTGTCCAGATATTCCTATTATATACTTGACTTGTCTCCGATGTACTGTATCCTGCAGTCTTCAAAGGACTTTATTCCCGACGATAAAAGAAGAAGACGTTGTTTATTTGAGCACTCGCTCTTAATTGGCTTTCCAAACTGCGTAATGATGCTCTATGTTATAAACAAAAGGGACATCCCAAGGAAAGGTGGAATAAATTGTTCCGTTTGACTTTCTCTGTTTAGCCGAGGAGAGCGAGGGGGATATGGCTAATTGCCCGTCTCCCGTTTTAGATACTTTGAAAATTCGATTGCGAGACGTGGCCGTCGGCTGCTACGTGATATTTCGGACGAAATATTCAATTAACCCCATTGATTGAAAACTCGTGGAACCCTACTTCGTTTATACTTTGTTTTCCCAACGTCGCGATATCCGTCTTCGCGGCGCGTTTCCCGCAAAGCGGAATGACAGCGCGACAAATGAATTTTCGTTCACCGCATTCCCTGCGTGACCCTCTCTCTCTCTCTCTCTCTCTCTCTCTCTGTTTCTCTTTCCCTCTTTTGCACCCTCTCTCTTTCTCTCGGCGGTGAAGAGTCACAACGATTGTCGATATATTTATTATCGCATTTTTTGCCCACCTCGAGTGTCCCTTTGTGTTCCGCGGGTGATATTGCGAAGTGCAACGCCGAGTAACGCGCGGCGAAACGTTTCAAAGTGTTTAGAGAAGCACGTTTGTGAATCGTCACTCTTCCGCGAGCTGCTTTTTTTTTTATGTTTCTCTCGCGCATCAACACGTTCGTGCAACTGGCTTTGCTTTAGTACCGCGCGGCCGGCGCGTTTTTTCCATTCTTTCAACAATTCTCCTCCTGAAATAATGTTCTCCTGAGCAACATTGCGATTGCGTATAGGAGAGACTGGGTCAAGTTGACCCAAGGATCGTGTCGGCCATGCGTTTCACTTCTGTATTTGTCGTGAGAGAAATGGTGGAAAAAGAACTGTGCAAAGTGCCCCCTTTAGCTTCCGCATTTTTTATGTTTCAGAATGTTCAAACGGTTCTGCGTTTCACAGAGCATCGGTATATTTTTTGCGTTCCAAAAGGAACACTTTTCAATAAAATTCACTCTTTCTCTTTCTCCTTCTCTCGCGATAAATGTATAAACGAAACGGATGAGAACTAACATGACACTAACGTGAATATTTTCGGGTCTATTTGACCCGGTTTTCCCCACTTCATCGGAAAAGAAGAGCGCGAAGAGTATTGAATGCTAAAATCGCGACGGAGGGAGGGGGGAAGGAAGGGTTGGACGACATAGTATTTTTGGTAATCCCGTTATCTCGTTGTCGGTTCGCATCTATCGACCGATCGATGTCGCGAACGCGTTATCAGTCGCCGCTTCGGGGCAATTTTATCGTTTGCCTGCAAGGAACGATCCAGATATGGCGATCTTAGTGTCGAACTCATTCTCTTTCTCTCTCTCTCTCTCTCTCTTTCTCTCTCTCTCTCTCTCTCTTTCCCTCTCTGTTTCTCTCCCCGCGTTAGTGGTGGACTGTGCGGTGAGCGAATGGAGCCCGTGGAGCCCGTGCGATAACGGATGCGGAAGTGGCACTCAAAGACGCAGCCGGGTGATCGAGATCTCGGAAAAGAACGGCGGGAAGCACTGTCCTCGCTTGGACCAGGTCAGGACGTGCCGTAGTTTCCAGACATGCCACGCCGGAATTCGCTCGCAGCCGCACGCTAAAAGTGAGTGCCGATCGATCTCGAGATGAGCGACAAAAGGCGGCCGAGTGCTTCTATTTAAACCGCGATGATCCCGGAGCGAGGAGAATCAATTTTTTTTTTTCTTTGTCCCCTTTTGTCTCCCTCTTTTCTTTTTTCGGCTCACAGGCTCACAGGGCTCGACTCGTACCGGGTGATTTTTCTTGGCGCCCTTTTTTACGCCCTTCATCGACTTGCTCGACTGGAAGCTGATCTTATGTGATAAGCGTTATGATTCTCGCGATTCAACAACGGGTTAAATTTCGTGCTCACGCGATCGAAGAAATATAGAATTAAATTAAATTAAATAGAATTAAATTTCAGTGAAAAGAAAGAAAGAAATATTGATCGCGCTATTTTTCTCATTTTTCTCTCGGACGTTTCCTGCTCTTCCGGGAGAATGCATTTCCAACGTTTTCCCCGGAACTCTCCCGCCGTTCTCCGGAGAATTGTTCGAATCGTGCGTAATTTATTTAGAACCGAGTCCGTTGCCGCGGAAAGACGAACCCGACGATTCCTCCGGCCTACGCGATCTTCTTTCATTTGTCGCAGGTGTGACGCTTCTTGCGCTCTTTCCGGGCGAAGGCAACAGCACGGATGTGAGGATCAAGGATAGGACCGTCGATAAAAGGTAGGTCAAGCCCCCTCCCTCTCTCCCCCCTCCCTCCGCGCCTACCTTCGCTTCCGATCGCGTGAAATGCGTTTTGCCGCACGTGCTGCCAATTCGCGCAGCAACAGCAGCAACAGCAGCAGCAGCAACAGCAGCAGCAGCAGCAGCAGCAGCAGCAGCGATGCCGTTTTTGTCCTGTCGATCGGCGCAGCGTGAAAACAGATGGATAAAACACGCCGATCGGATTCAGCGTGAGAATTGAAGTGTAAAATGTTCGGCTCTACGGGCGCTACTAGTTACCGGGCGATACCGGCGAAAATGTTCATCACACCGCCCGGCGATTACACAACTTCTGTTTTCCCGCGAGCGTATTTCGATCGAGGCGGTCGACGTGGCGCTGACGAGACGAGAATTCGCGTGTTGTTCGTTGCCGCCGCCGCACAAACTAATGTGCATCCAACATGTAACGCACTCATCTTGCGTTCCGTGTTATCCTGTCGCGCCGTGCGGACAGCCGCTGTGCTGTAGCCGCGTATGCGATTAATAATAATTTTCCGTCGCATTTCGCGCCGTCGTCATCGGTCCGCGCGCCGCAGCTGATCAGAGTTCGTACTACTTGGCGCCCTTAATTGTCCAAGTTCGTTAGCGTTCCTCCAGCAATTGGCCCTGCCCTCCTTCCCTCTCGCTCACGGGCTTTAATTCCGACGAAAGGTTTCCTCTCTGCGCGCGTACTTACTTTGTACGAGGGATGGCGGATTTTTCACGTCACAAACTACCGAGTCGAGCTACCGGGAATCGCCAATGTCGCGTCGTGTATCTAATTTGACACGTGTGTCCCGAGCTGTTACAAAACGCAGCAGTAGCAAACATCGCGTCGGAGGATCGAAACTCCCATCCGATGTTGTCAAGCTGGTAAAGCTAGTTACAGAACTGCCAGCGAGCAACGGAACCCTTCGGGCGCCCTGTAAAGGGCGCGCACGTATTGCGGTAGCTAAGAAGAAACACGTTGCGAAACTTGCCCCTTAGGCTTAGGCTTGACAATCTTCGTTATATAAAGACGATATTATGCACGTTTCAGCGACAGCTGCGTCGCTTTTACCATTGTGCGGGTCTCGAGGGCTTGCAGCAGGATCTCGGATTTGCTCTCAGAAGGTTAGTACAAATAACAATAACGGAAAATAAGCTCGTGCGCGCTCGCGCGCGCTGCGCGACAGCTCGATTCCGCTCTCAATCGGATACGGGAGGGAGTTTCGCTTAATAGAGGATATTATTTTTGCAATATTCAGGTCACATGGCGGCCCCGATATTCGGGGGGATATTCGTAGGAGTACGTGGGATGTTTCGTTAATCGTGCACCTCCTCCTGCTTCCGTATTGTGTTTGCGACAGGGTGGAATTAAATTCCGCTTTGAAAAAAAAAAAAAAACGTCTGTTCTTTTATGTTTTTCTACATATCCCTTGGTTCCTCCGGCGTTAAATTTCCATTCGCTCCTCGTGGCGACTCCTCGTGAATCATACATCATCGTGTTTATTATTCATGCGCGACTGAAAAGCGAGGCATAATCGTTCGTGTATATTTCAGGAGGAAGTTGCGAAAAGAATTTCTATAATTCACAATATCGCGCGCGATTCGATGCATCGATACTCCCGAGACCGGCGCGGAAATAGGAAACCGTGAGTGTCGGGCTCTTTCACATTGAGAAGCAACGGCGTTGGGATTTAGTTAAATAAACGAGGTTCGTGGAGAAACTGAGTCTGCTTCGGCATCGCGGAAGGAGGAAAGCGATGGGGCGGATGTTCCGCGTGTCGCTCGCGCGCGCGCGCGCGCGCGTTCGTTCCCTTCGCGGTTAAGTCCCCGCCGCGCGTTCAAGTTTTTCCAACTATAATGCTCCGAAGAGACAATAGACTTCTATCTTACGGAAAAAAAAAAAAAAAAAAAAAAAGAGAGAGGAAAAGGCTCGCATCCGTACGGCGAGATGTAAAACTCGGGGATTACGCTCCGAGTGAAGAATTATCGCGGCTGCGCGAGGGTGTGTTCGTAGCGGCCTGACATTATGATAAAGGCAAGATCTTTCGGCTCGCGTGCAGCTCGTGACTTGGGGACTTTCAATATCAATTTTAAGTTTCGGATGTGCTCGTCTGTGAATCGCGTGAGACACGAGATAGTTGGCGCGTCCGTACACATTTGTTGCAACAAAATGCGCGTGACGCGCATTCCGATTATAATATATTGATACATCATGCTGTACCGTTCGCCGCGCGGCGAAGCGGAACGTATCATTGGACGCACACACACACACACACACACACACACACACAGCTGCGGTTTCGGCGTTTTGCAGAAGCGTGAAGCAAACGCGAGGGCAATCGTTCGCGTGCGCTTGATCTTCGTCGTTTCTTCGCATCTTCGATCTTCGCAGTCGGCCCCCGAATCCTTTTTAAACGTCCGCCCGGACGGAGGAAGGCAGACGATTTTGGCTGTTCGTGTTTGAAATCGCGTGATTACATCGGGCTTAACTTAACTTAAGCGGGAGAACGTCGGGATACGTCGGGCTTGAACTCCTGAAAATCCGGATGCGAATTTCGCGTAATGATGAATCGCGCGGCGCCGGCGTGGAAATGAAGCGACTCGATCTAGTCCCCAATTAACGTGCGCAGCGGTTGCGCGACGTAACGTCATGTAAATTAGAGCGTAGCCTCCGCGCGCGACGCTCTACGACGGCTGTTATCGCGAAGGAATCGACCGGATGAAGTGGATGCGGTGGCGGAGATAACGGTTGTTTCCTACCGGGCGTATCTTGCACAGATAAACCACGAACGCGCGGAAATCTGTGGACAAAAGCAAGTTATTTCGATGACTTACTTATTATCCGCATAGCCTCGCTGCTAATTCGGCCGCGTCTCGTGTTTCTTTTCACCTCGGGCCTCTTAATCACGCTTGGCCTTTCTGTCTGATTATCGGCGCAGGTTACAAATGAGCTTATATGCAACTTTTATTATAAATGCACCCCCCTTCCCTACCCTTCTCCGCGAAAAAAGGCACGAAAGAAGGAAAAACAAATACAGTGTGCTCCCTCGGTGCGGATTACATCCGGTGAATATTTATAAACGCAGACTCAATACGCTGATTGTCACCTGGATCGTCGCTCAACGCTCGACTCGCGAGCTCGAATCACGAATCGAGGAGATTCGAGAGACTCGATAAATTTAAAATAAACTGCGTTGTGACTCGCCGCGGTGTTTAGTTTGTCATTTGGCAGTTGGTTACGTCTCATGTAAATTGCCGTGAGACACGGTAAGAGACATGGTGGCGAGCCACTATCGGCGAGTACGAATACACACCGGCGGCTGAAACTGGGGATCTTATCGGTGCCTTTTGCATGGGATTAATATTTATGATCCCCCGTCGTCTATTATTTCGCACGAGATTGCGTTGGCATTCAATCCGAGAAGTTGTAAGGGAAAGACCTCTCGATTGACTAGCAAATTTATAGATACCCCGGCGAGTCGATGCACTCTGGTTTGCCCGAGCAAATAAAAACGCGAAACTCTCCGAGAGACCGGCGAGCGGTGCTAGTTAAAAATACACGCCATTGAGCGCGCGGGCAAGGATGTAGTACAGTCAAAGTCGTCGCAGGTTCGCGAATCTGCGTGGAGCGTCCCGGACGGAACGAGAGTCTCGACAGATACGTGGGAATCGGCAAGTGGAAGCTGTCGACCGACATCGCCGGCAGCGGTCGTCGCGGCCGGCCGACTAATTCGACCTGCCACGGCAAGTGGATCGGCGATTCGCGACTCCTGGTGGACTGTCACGATCCGCGATGCACGCAGACGAGCCGGCCGCCGCCGTACGCCTCGCAGTTGTACCGTGGCCGAAGTCGCAGGGGCGCGATCACCCAGGCGGTCGTCGGCAACGCAGACGCAGACGACGGCGCGTCGAGGGTGCGGGACAGGCTGATGAGAAGACGAAGGAGAGGCAGGCGACGGAAGAGGAGCCGGAGAAGAAGACGCGCCGCTGTCGCGGAACGGTGAACGTTCTCCGCAACTGTTGCCGCTCACGCCAGCGTCACTCGCGTTAGGAGTCACCTCCCCTTGCCGCCCCTTCTCTCCCCCATGTCCTCACGTTGGTTGTTATACAGGGTATATCGTAACACAGGACCCACTTCGGGGGTGGATTCTCCTCCGAGGAACTCGGAGTCGACTTCTGCGTCGATCGCGAATTACAAGAGCGAGCAGGCTCTTTGCGAATTAAGCGTCGACGGTAACGATGGCGAGTAGACGACGAGAGAGAGAGAGAGAGAGAGAGAGAGAGAGAGAGAGGGGGAGAGAGAGAGAGAGAGAGAGAGAGAGAGAGAGCTTGTTCGGCTGTTGAAGTTCGAACGGGCGTTGTTTAAACAGAGAGTTTTCGTTCGAGACCTGCTTCTTTTAGCGAAGTATTTTTCACGTTGAAGCTCGAAGGTTCGTGAAAAAGAAGCGCGCGTGGCTGCTTCGGTCAGTTTCGCCGAGGAGAAAATCGGTATCGAATGTCGAAGTCTGCCCACTTCAGGGGATCTCGCGTATTATGATATACCTTGCATATTTAATCTCTGCCTCCAGTATTGTCACTCTCGCGTTTCATGCGGTTTTGTCCTCCGCATCTGATTTTCTCCTATTTATCTCACATTTCGCACTGATTTTCACCATCGAGCTCTCGGTCGCTTGATCATTTCCTACGCGAGTTTTACGTTGAGCCGAGAGAAGGCTGAAACTCGGGAAACGCGTTAAATAAAATCTCTACCCCATTTTTTCCCTCCCCTTGTCCACTTTTCCACCCTTCTAGTTGAATATAGCAATCGGACCCGTTGCCTAGATTAACCCGATAATTATCATATCGATTTTATCATTAGTGCAGGCCCACGAGAGGCATCTCACCGGAACGACGGTGAGCTTCCTTATTCCCTCGACGCTCTGGCGGGAATCACAAGGTAATCGATATCAGCGATGTTAGGTTTATGATTCATGTTGCGGTCGCGGATTTAATAAATCATTTTATCAGATCGGAACAATGGAGCATGCGGATCAGCTCGCCGGAGGAACGAGCATTGATGCGATACGTTGCGTTTAATTAACTATGTCGCTTGATTTGTTGTCCGCCCCTTCTCCTTATCTCCCCGAATTTCATCTAATAATGTATCGTATATGCGTTATCGTATATAGGTGAGATATATATATATATATATACGTATATATATATATATATATATATATATATATATATATATATATCCGTAGAAAACGAATAAAAAGACAGAAAGATTTTGTCATTATTAATCATACAAATAATTGTATTTTATTAATAACGTGACTATATCATAGTATCTTCCATAAGAGAAACAAAAGAAAAAAAAAAATATATATATATATATACATGTAATTAAAGCTCTTGTTTCGCAACATTTTCTTGCGTTTTTATACTGCTGCTGTAAAAATTTTCCCATGTATGTGGGATAGAGAGTGTCTCAGAATTAATGATATTTGTTTATATAATTCGGAAGCTATTAGTATCTCGATATATGACACGAAAGAGAAAAATTCCTCCCTTGTCTCATTGTGGATTTTAACATTCGTTGGTGGTTTTTTGCCACGCCGATAATACGGTCAGTTTTGTAACAGGCTGCAAATGTCAAAGATGTTTTCTTTACATCCCCAAGCATAACATACTTGTTGCAAACATATCGTACGATATATTGCAGTTCCCGCGAGCAATCTCGTTTTTAGAGAGTTTTTATAGTGTTTGCGAATAAATATGCTGGAGCACTTATTATGATTTCTCTTCAGGAGTATCGATACATATCGGTATGCCGAGAGAGTAGAGGCTCTCGATGCGAGATGAACAAAATGTAAAAGCACCGTCAATAAAGGGTACATGCACATATCTGGGTTTTAGCGTGTAATATTGCGTACAAGATCAATACAAATCTTTCTCTGCCCGATCCATTTGTCGAGAAACTTCCTCCGACTGAAATAATGAATTTCCCTCATTGACGACTGCACTTCTCCTTACATCTTTGTCGAGAGCTTCATCAATTTCATCCGTCTCCATTAACTTTGAGCATTACTAGTTACTGGTACTTACTGGTAAATGCAAACATAAATGTGCACAGATGTGCGCATTTGTAGAAAATAGTGTGTTATTGCCCACGTCATTACTACTAGCTACTAGAAACAATCCGAAACTCAATTAGAGAGAGTTTGAGACTAATTATTAATTTTGCCGGATTAAATTACGCTGCATCGAGCGACGGCAGATTGGCAAACATTATAATCGTCATTGATCGCGGATCATCATCGTGTCCATATCGCATCATATACGTATAGGCGATAACATATTCAATATCAGCACGTAAATAATTGGCGTGTCGCCATTCGTGTCATAATTCAATTATAAATGCCACGTCGCGTCAATGTATTAATAAGCCACATGCGCACACGAGTGTTTGCATCAATATTTCTTCGTTCTTCTGATTCCGCAACGTAATTGTAATACGTCTCGGCAGGAGTCAAGTGTCAAATTATCTGTCGGTCCAAGTGGCGACAATATCGCCGGCTCGTTTCCGACCCGTGGTTAGTCGCGATTCACTCGACAAACAGGAAGACCCATCCGCGAGATTTGGTTGTTTTCATTCTTTCCGACGGTGTATCTGTTGTTCGCTGCGTGAAGACTGACCTGCGTGTTTCCTGGACGGATTTTGCGGTCGCTCGGAGGTGACGTTTGTCGGCAGCAGACCGCCGTATCCTTCGCGATTTTACTATAAATGCGGCATCGGCGCATCCAGCTAGACACACAGGCTCATCGCACGTTGTTGCAGCAACAGCTTTGTGCGATCTCGATTCTCACTTGAAATCGCGATTTTCCTTCTCGCTGTCGATTTAGTGCACCTTGACGCAACTTGACAACCGACATGGCGGGGAACGACAAATCGAACATCCTGTACCTGTTCGACCGACCTGCGGAGCCGGTGTACGTGCCCAAGGGAGAAAAGAAAGTCGCTTTCGATATACCATCTAACTACTTGGTGAGTCCAATCTTGCTTATGCGGCGCACTAATGCTCTCATTGCTCGCCGACATTGAATTTCATGACTTCACTCCGTAATTGACTCGAGACGCGAAATCTCTTTCGGTCTCGTATATTACGAGGCGCCAATTGTATCTCTAATTTAGTCTCATCGCATCGGCGGATTGCTTGAAAAGTGTGAAAGAAAAGGTTGCAAAATAGGAAAATACCGCTCAACTGTAACGTGTAATGTGCGCGTTCTAAATTTCTAATAAATATTCCTACGAAACGAAGGGATGTCCTTCGGCCCCCGGCATTTTTCTTTCGAAATTTAATAATCTTAATTTAAAGAATTTTAAAGAAATTTGAGCAATTTCAGTTCGGGCAGAAACGTAGAACGTGAATGTTCGTTAAATAATAATTCCAACGATGCAGTTATCAAATGTAAACTTTGTCACTTCAATAAATTTGCAGCCTGAAAATCGACAACCGGTGGCTCCTGAAGTGTTGAACCGTTTCGCGGACGACACCGATAAGAAAGTCCCGGTGAAGCAGATTAGTCTGCCGGACTTAAGCGTTCCCCTACAACTTGGACGTCGAGAACCTTTCTCTTTGTTTATCCCTAAACATCGGAAATTAGCCGCCCGGCTCATCGACATCTTCATGGGTTTGTTACCGATTGGATTTTTAACATTGTTGTCGCATTTTGCATCAAGTAAATTAATTTCATCTCATGTTTGCCCGAGAGACAAAGGACTAATTTTGTGAAATGTATGTGCTTCAGTAGACAATACTTATCCGATAGAATTAAAAATTGTGTGATATACCGGCAAAACCTTGTGATATATCTTTATTACGCAACTTTTCCACAAAGATGATGCAAAGGTTCAAGAAATATTTTTTTACAATACTATAACAAAACTAATGGTTAAACAAAAGGCAAATAAGCAAGGAGATATGAGAGCAATATTAATATTGAATGAAGTTTTAAGCATAGCGATATGTAGAAACTTGCAGCAAACTTGTCGTGGAACAATGGAACGTACTGAAATACTCACACGTATTATTGCGATATCAGCTCTTATATCAACTCTATTGTTTTTATATAACACATATCCTTGCACATCATGGTTATTCATGACTTACGTCATGAGTGACTACTATTCCACAAACATAACTGTCACAAACAAGCATATTTTTCTGCATTTTAAACACACTTTAAGTAATAAATCTACGTAAGTTTTCGTAGCTTGTTATTAAGTTTTTTTAGATCTATAACTGAACTGACGATAAAAAGAATGGAAATAAGATAAGATAAGACGGAAGCATAGACGATGATGGTGAATCATCATATCGGACTTCACGGTTACGGTTAATGATATGTGTGTATGAATATTTATGTTGGACATTTGCAGTTAAGAACGTCGTATTATACAGGGTGTTTCAGACCACCCGTTCGCTTCATTTGTCTTGAGAAAGGGTGGTGCTATAAAGTTAAGAAAATACGTTTTCCTTCGGTTAACCACTATTTTTCTTTATTGCAAAGAAATTGTAATATTGTAAAGAAATATTTCTTGATTTTTTGCATCATCTTGATGGAAAAGTCGTGTAATACAGCTATTAAAAGGTTTTGCCCGTATATTACACAATGTTATCCTCGGATAGGTGTTATCTACTGAAGCACATATTTCACCGTAAGTAATACCGTAATTAGTACCGTAAGTAAGAAAGTATATTTTCCAGTTTAGGAAAAAAATGCTTGCGTAATACAATATTTTATCCTCAAACGTTACGTTATAATCGTATCCTATTAATTTAAAACACTTTTCTCACTTGCTATTACGATCGTATTAATTCTCGCTGTTTGATGATCACATTGACCCGTTTATGCCAAACAACTATTACATTTTGTTGCGCGATCGTGTCAGTTTCATAGACCCCTTTCGCGGCACTCGATTCGATACGCACGATCATTTTAACGGAAGTTATAAAAATCACAGCGTATCACATGCATCGGTAAGCTCAACGTCAGCGCTTCCGTCTGACGGTCTGAGTTGTGCGGTCGTTTCTGCGCGTATCTCCTATATCTCCGACCCGCAATAATAGGCAAGCTACTTTTATCTGTATAGCTGAAAAGTCAAGCCTCAGATAACATTTTGCGAAAGGAAAATTCGTTTTAGAATTCGTTCAGGAACATGTTATTTCAAGAACGGTAAGTTGTTCTGGATCACCCGATATGGCGCAATCTATTGAAAATCGAAACGAACTTTTCCACAAACGGAACCAATACTTATCGGGCAATAAATCTTCTCCGTTGCACCGAGAAATTCCGATCGGATTACCTAGCGCATTGAATGTCGGAGTTTCCGCGAACCCGATTAACCGGCTACTCTTGGCTGAGCAGCTATTAATTCGTGTTACAGGCATGCGAACGTACGAGGACTTCCTTTCGGTGTCGGTTTACTGTCGCGATCGCGTTAATCCTCAAATGTTCATCTATGCGCTCTCGGTGGCGATCCTGCATCGTCCTGATACCAAGAATCTACCGATACCACCGTTGACGGAAGTTTTCCCGGACAAGTACGTCGACAGCGGGATATTTGCCAGAGCGAGAGAGGAAGCGAACGTTGCACCAACTGGCTCCAGGGTATTTGCTCGTCGACGCATTAATTACCAGCAAGCTCGTTACTCGATTATGCGGCTTAATTAACCATTCGCTTATTCTTTGAATAGCAGTCGAATGAACGCGACATAAATTGCAAAACTTGGCGGAAAGCCGGGAGAGAAAGAGACAGAGATAGAAACAGATAGAGAAAGAAGGAGAGTGGAGCGGGAAATAAGAAATAGAAGAAGACGCGCAGTCGTTTAATTTACGCAACGAGTCGGAAAGAAACGCGCGTTTTTCGAAACGACGTCAGAACGACCGATCGGTATTCTTTGGCAGCTCGTCGTTGAGAGTTTCGATATTTTCGCGCGCAATAACGCACAGTGCGCGCACCTACCGAAGCATATTTAGAAGTTCGAGCGCAATTGTCCAAAATTTACATACTTTAGATCGCGCGCGTTATTGCTTTTGCACGGTATTTCAGTAATGTCAGCGGTCAGCGGTACCAGACAGGAGAATTACGCAGAATAAATCGTTTAAACGCGGTCAATTCGCGGAAAGTAGCGGCCCCTTCCGAGCCGCTGATGAAAGCCGCAATTTAGCGGCTAGAACTGCGCTCACAAATTCTATCGCTGCATTAACGCGCTGCTGATGTTTAGCGGGGGGAAGTTTCTCATCGTTTTATCCGGCCGCGTAACCTTTCGTCTCGCAGCTGCCGATCGAAATTCCACGGGACTACACCGCGTCGGACCTCGACGAGGAGCACCGCGTGGCTTACTGGAGAGAAGATATCGGGATCAATCTTCATCACTGGCACTGGCATCTGGTCTATCCATTCGAGACCGACATCAGGATTGTTAACAAGGATCGGCGCGGCGAGCTGTTCTACTATATGCACCACCAGATCCAAGCCAGGTAAGTGCAACGTGTACGTGTGTTCAGCAAGTTCGATAAGATTGGATGCCTTATTCTACTGCCGGCTCGTGAACGCTCAAACCGTCGTTATCGGCGATCGGATCAAATTCTGATCTCGATCGTTATTATCGCGCGCGCGCGCACACGCGAGAGAACTCGTCTCAATTTCGCGTAATATTCCAACAATGTTCAGTCCCTGCTAACGAACTTCCGGATTACATTTACGCGTGCGATAGTGCAACAAACTGTTATTACGCTGTTATTGAATTTGGCGAAGAGGCAGAGGGAGGGGACAACAATGTAAATTTGAATGCTTGTTAAAGTGAGGCGTACGTGTGATAATAAAATAAACAAGCAAACATCTTAGCGTACAAATGTCTGTAAACGCAAAGAGGGACGAAATCAGACGAATTTGTGTCGAGCTTCAAAGTTATATCGCTCTCGTCTAAAGTTCATATCGCTAAAGTCATATTAACGTCAGACGCATATCGGTGAGAGAATGTGTGTGTGGCTCGTTGTTTAGAGTTTAGCTTCTCCGACAAATACTCGTTCGCCGCGAGCCAGTTTCCTTTCTTCCGTCGTTATATAATTCGTATTCGTCATCGATCTGTAGCGACGAGCGAGCGAACACACACACACACACATACACACACACACATGGAATACCGCCTGAGGGCACGGCGGATGGGAATTTCCGTAGCCCCTGAGTTATTATCCGCGAGTTCCGTTTGACTTCTCTTTTCGCAGATACAATTGCGAGCGTCTGTGCAACCGATTGGGCCGGGTGAAGCGCTTCCACAATTGGCGCGAGCCGATCCCGGAGGGTTACTTCCCCAAGTTGGATTCTTTGGTGGCCAGTCGCACTTGGCCCGCCCGTCCCGCCGGCGCCATTCTCAAGGATATTAACCGGCCGGTGGATCAACTCAACTTCGATCTGCAGGACCTGGAGAGATGGCGCGATCGCATCTACGAGGCTATTCATACCGGCTCCATCATCAACCCCCGTGGCGAGAGGGTGCCTTTGACCGAGTTCGGAGGTGTGGACGTGCTCGGTAACCTTATGGAGGCCAGCATCCTGTCAGTCAATCCCAATGTCTACGGGGATCTTCACAATCTCGGCCACGTCGCAATCTCCTATTGTCACGATCCTGATCATCGTTACTTGGTAATGTTTGGTAACGTGCGCGCGCTCGCGCGCTCGCTCGCTCGCTCGCTCGTCGTCGTTCGACGATCACGTCGGGGAAGTTCTTGAGTCTCGAGCGTCAGCGTAGCTGATTTTAACCATCGAGACCATGCCGAGACGTCTTCTTGACTTCCTCGACACGTAGTGCCTTCCGCTCTAATGACATCTAATGACATTAGCAACCGACTACGACTGGATTACGACCGCGAGATTTTCGTATATTTGCAGGAGACTTTCGGCATTATGGGAGAACCGGCCACCGCTATGAGAGATCCCGTTTTCTACAGATATCACGCTTTCGTCGACGACGTGTTCCTAGAGTTCAAGAATACACTTCCCGAGTATACCCTACAGCAGGTGGGTGTGCACAGCTGTCCCGCTTCCTCGATATATCATCGGTTCGCTCTTGCATATAATGCCGCTAAGTACACGTATAAGCGTACCATGTGGCCCCCCCCCCCCGCCGTGCATTACGCAGCTCCCGTGGTGATAAAAACGTCCGTTAAAGCATTTAATCTGGCGAAATCGCCCAGACGTCGGAATTTATCAATCTTTTTGCTGTCATAGCGGTAATCTCGTTAAATACTTAACTTGGCGAGTGACAAATTTCAACACACACGCATACACAGAACGCATGCTGCGTTCACGAATAATGTATAAAAGCCGTGGCTTTTAAATTGAAGAGTCGCGCTCCAACGACGTTCCGTCGTGAAATTTGTCAGGGAAACGTCGCGGTATCATCGACGCGATCTTTCAGATTTTTCAAGTCTAAATATGACGGCTTGGTAAATTCAGCTTAAACCGTAGAATTAAGTTCCCTTCTGGAGCTAAATAGGCACGCCCTCCCACCGTTTTCTTTTCTTTCCTTGAATCCTAACGCGCTAAATTCTACCCTCGTTTTTCGTTCGGTATTGCGTACCTCTTAATTAAATTTCTTTTGAAATCTTATTTAAATAAGGACTATGTGATATTTTTTCTCCCATTGCCTCCCTCTTTCTTCCTCCAGCTCAATCGGGAGGAGAGAAAGAGGAGAAGAGGAAACGGGAACTCGCGAGCGAATTTAATTAGCCTCTTTTTGTTTACCCACGCGATTTCACAGTTGGACTTCCCCGGCGTGGAGATGACAAATATAAGTGTGCAAACCCCGAATCTGCCGGCGAATTTATTGGCGACTTTCTGGACCAAGAGCGACGTCGATCTGTCTCGCGGCTTGGACTTCACGCCGCGCGGCCCGGTGCTCGCCAGATTTACCCATCTCAATCACACCGACTATAACTACAAGATCGTCGCTAACAATCGCAATAATGCGCCGCGCAGAGGCACCGTTCGCATATTCATCGCACCGAGGCAGGACGAGCGCGGGCTGCCGTTCGTGTTCAGGGATCAGAAGGAACTCATGATCGAGATGGACAAGTTCACCGTATTACGTGAGTCGCCCGTTCACACTAGCTCTTTCCGCTGTATTCGTATTTTTTTCTCGGCACACCTCGATTTGAAGAGAGAAGTATCCTCGGGTAAAATGGCGCATGATCGTCGGCTATCATCATGTGACAAATTACCTACCCACTATATGACGTACCTACTATATGACGGATCAAGTGGCTTTATGCAGGCATATACGACAATTTATTCGTTATTACCGAACAATCGGGGGAAATTAGATCGGGAAAATACGCATTTAGCCCGTCGTATTATTATTGCTTCTATTTTATGTTACCATCTCTTTAATCGCTCTAATCGAATTGGCAGGGTCGATGAGAAAATTCAGTTTTAAATCTGACTCGGTCGCGCGCAGCCGACGAAAACAAATTATTTGTCAAGCAAGCAGTCGCGGTCTTTGTCTATCCGCCAACATGCTGGTAGTACACATCTCTGTCATGGGGAGGGGGGGGGAGGAGGGAGGGACAGCTGATTTACCGTCGAGGAAGCCGGAAAATTGAACCGAATTTGTCGAAGCAGCTCGATATTTCTCGTACGAGCGTGACGTGTGACATTGTCTCAGCCTGAGAATCAGGAAGACACGCGTTCGATACGCCTGCGGGATACGCGACACCTGCTATCTTTCACGATCTTCTATATCTCGCGATTTCCGTTCGTCCGCTGTATCTAGTGAAACCGGGACCAAACACCATCGAGCGTCGATCGACGGAGTCTTCGGTGACTATACCGTTCGAGAGAACGTTCCGCAACCTCGAGGAGAACAGACCGATCAGCGGTGATACCTTGGACCAGTACAACTTCTGCGGCTGCGGCTGGCCGCAGCACATGCTGGTACCTAAGGGGAAGGAGGAGGGATTCCCGATGGACCTCTTCATCATGATATCCGATTACACCGGTGACGCGGTGAGTACTTTTTATACTTATCAGCCTCTTCTCTGGTGGCGCTTAAGAGCTTACGGTGTGTCAGATGATGGAAACCTTCTCCTCGTCCTTCTTCCGCGTTTTCTTTTTTTTCCCCTCCCTCTCTCTCTCTCTCTCTCTCTCTTCCTCCTCTTCTCTACAACCCCCTCCCCCTCCCTTCACCTTAACGACGGCGGCGCGGTACACGGGAAGGCGTTTGCCTGTTAGGCGCTCCTAATAAAAAAGAAGCACTCGAGAGAAAAATTGCTCTACCATCGCGCGGTGTCGTGTGTAGGTGGAGCAGGAGGAATCGGCCGGATGCAAGGACGCGGTGAGCTTCTGCGGCCTGCGAGACCGCAAGTTTCCGGACGCGCGGTCCATGGGCTATCCGTTCGATCGTAGGCCACGTGCAGGCGTTGAGACCCTGGCCCAATTCCTCACCGGCAACATGGCGGTCGCGGAGATCAACATCCGCCATACGGATACGGTGTTGCCGCGGACGCGTTCCGGAAGCATGAGCAACACCCTTACCTTCGCCTAATGATTGACCGACCGACCGACCGACCGACCGACCGATCGCGGCGGACCTCTCTCTGCTCGCTCGCTCGCTCGCTCGCGCATCTCCGGAGAATCTCAACGACGAACTCTGCCGCATTCCCGCGATCCTGTAATATCCGTCGGAGAATCACGACTGATTGCGTGGAAACGAGAACGCGAGGAGAACGGTCCCATTTAGTTCATATCCTTGGAGAGGGAGAAGGGGAGAGAGAAAGAGCGAACGGGAGCAGGTAAAAAGCCATCGGTCGGAAAGGGCGGAGAGAAGGGGGGGGGGAGTGAACGAAACGCTATTTCCATATCGCTGATATGATGGAAGATCCATCCGTGGGACTTTTAACATGATCCTGCTGAAACCTCGACGTGCTGTTTCGCGACGAACAGTCGCGATTGTCGTCGGAGTCGCGGCCAAATCTCGCAGGACTCGGAGTGTCATTCACGACGAAAGCGCCCAGCCGACCCTGTTTCAATAGATTTCACGTGTTTATTGCCGACAGGGATTTAACAGCCATTTGTGAAAATCGCGAAATTGCATTTTGCGCGCGATATCTGTATTCATTAGAGGTAATTCCAGCGCTACACGGTCCTCGGACACGGTATGTTAATTAAGCGTTCGAATGCGATTTTTATTTCAAGCTTGATGAATCTCTTGCAAATTCTGCGTGTCCCATTAAACAGCCTCGTAAGAATCGTTATGTTTACACAGTTGGCGCATTTATACGAGCGATAAGTACTGCTTAACAAATGTATTTTCGCGCAAAAACAGGAACACACAGAGAGAGAGAGAGAGAGAGAGAGAGAGAGAGACGTCTCACGGACGTCCGAGCAAAGCTTCTCCCGCCTCCTTTCTCTCGTTCCACCCGCATTACGGGAACTAGATTGTAGAAAGCAGCAAATGTAAAATGCAAAAAAATATAAAAAATAAAGTCAGACTATGCAAATTAGAGGCGCACTTTCTTCTTTTAACCCTTTCACCGCATTACCGGCGTTGAAAGTGCGCGGCGACGCGTTCGGATACGTTTGGAACACGAGACCCTGACCAATGAGGACTCCGAAGGCTTCAGCGGATTACTTTAAATTTCGCTCGCTTTTTTAAGCTCGTCATTCATTTTCATGCCGTTAATTCGAGCAAGAGATTTGCGTCTGTAAGTGCGCGCGCGCGCGCGCGTGTGTGTGTGTGTATATGATGCGCGTTGCAACTTTTTATACGCACAAACATATTTCCCAAAATATATTTTCACGTTCGTCTCTCAGTCGGGTTTGCTTTAATCGACCTGTAAAAATTAATATGTACCAACGAAAGAGATGAACGTAACGAGATTTACGTCCTTCAGCTTGTAATTAACATTGTTTCGTTAAGCTAACTACCGTGTGTATCAGCCGGCACAGTCAGCGTCTCTCACACACACACACACACCCGAAATGATACTCGCGCTTTCCACACCCCGGTCCTGTTCTCTCCCCCAAATGCATTTATCACGCGTTTGTTTCTGCTAGTTCGCAGCTAGACGGACGTGGATTTATTCCTACGAGGGGTAGAAATAGGGACAGGCGGACGAAGATAGATACACGTTTACGACCGTCGCTTAAGCGACGGTCCTATCCCCCTGCTTCCTAATATCACTCGCGGTTATTCAGGGATTCCGTTTCGCGGGAGCGCGCCTCGGACGCGCTTAATAGACCGCGCCTGAAAACAGCGATCGAAGGGCCGCTGTTATTTGTCGTCTGTGCCGTCTGTGACGTGCAATTGCGACGGTCTCGCTTGAGAAAGTCGGGACGATGAGAGAGAGAGAGAGAGAGAACAAACACATTTTGCGCTCGTTGGCACGTCGAAGGCGATTTTATTCACGCTATCGAGCAGCTATACATCTCGCCGTGCTAGCGTGAGAGAAGCCGTTTGACACAAGCGTGTTTCATTTGCAACGCTTGTAAGATATCCTGTCAGGTTTGTTTCTGCCCGATTAAAAATTTCGTGGCACCGATTTGCCTCCATATCGCGTTACGTGCGGAGAGAAGAGTTAATTTAACATCAATGTCGCCGCGGTTTGGCTTCCCTTGCGCTCTGCGACGAGCGGCGAGCGAGAAAGAGAGAGAGAGAGAGAGAGAGAGAGAGAGAGAGAGAGAGAGAGAGAGAGGGAGGAACCAAAGGGTTCGCCTCTTCTGTATTTTGTTACGCGCTGAGTGTAATTTAAGGGACAGTATTATGCTTTCGTCCGACTGTTGTTTCTGAACCTTTCGCCGTGATGTGTGCATACAAGTTCGAAGGTGGGAAAGAGGAAGTTAAAGATACACAAAGCGAACGGTTGCGGTAATGAAGTCGGGATGTGGACGAAAGAGCTACAGGCGGATATATTTCAGTTTTAAGGGCGAAATCAAGTCGGGGAACATTGTTTCAACGTCGCAAAAGTTTTCACACATTTCCGTCGCCGTGCGCGAATAAAAACACGGGCTGTTACCCTGTAGAGCGAGAACGCGGGCATGTCTCTCCTGTCTTCGAACGTTATGTTAGGTAAGCGTTCACGAGGTCTCGACTAGATCATCACCACGCGAAATTGACACGTTGACATAATATATATCAAGAGAGAAAACATTTCTATTGTCACACCCGCTTTGGCCGCTTTGAAAGTAAGATCGATACGCCGTATCGGCGTATGAAGCAACAGCGAGAGCCCAGCAGCAGCGAAACTCGTTAGATGAGTCATGAGTAAACGGACGTATTTTGTGTTAACGGACTTACGCGCTCGCGCACTCACATTTCGCGATATAATTTCCTCTTTATCCTTCGCAAGTTCCCCCGGGGAGTTATTCGTCGTGGTTTGCTACGATTTGCCGAAATGAGCTCCGCGCCGCGGAGAGAAGCGACGGAGAAACGAACGTACGAACTCATATATTTAGATACAATAAACCGCGTGAATCCTGAATATCACATACGTCATTCACATACGCGCGTACCTCCATGTGCGTCGCACATACGCGCGGCGCAATACAACTGATCCTGTGATCTACGTACGTAATATATATATATATATATATATATATATATATATATATATATATATAGCGATCGTTAGGATAAATAATCCCCGGGTTAAAAGCAGTCCCCGCTCTGAACGCTCGTTTCCTTTATTCAGGGAGATTTCGCGCGAAACGGGACGTTACGTTTATGACGTATATAAAACTGGAGTGCAGGCGTCTATGAAATGGCTACGGAAACGTACTTGCGTCAGGTATATACGTCTCATTCCGCAAAGGGAAGTCTACGTCTCGTCCTTTGACTTCGAACCGGTAGAGCCGGTTAATTTGTACCATTTACGGCACACCCACGACTCCCGTGCTTTAACTTCCATTCGTAAAAATGTCGCGCTCCCTGGCAATCACATTAGCAATCCGCCCTCAACAAAAAGAGAAAAAGAAAGAGAGAGAGAGAGAGAGAGAGAGAGAGAGAGAGAGAGAGAGAGAGAGAGAGAGAGAGAGAGAGAGAGAGAGAGAGAGAGTGGGAGAAAATGATAATTTTGCGAGGTTATTACTTCTAAAGGGAATCAAATCACACGCTACAAAGTCGTGTCGTCTTTCTTTCGCCGGAAATAAAGAAAATCGTAGCGATCGCACGACTGTCTCAATTTTGCCGCAAATAATTAAATAAATCGAGCAATTCTCGTATCAGCGCGGAGAAGATTCGCGCTTTATTCTCGACACTGTGTGTCCTGGCCGCCTAATTCCGTCGTATCGATCATCGCGCACATGCTTCTAAACGGAGAGACAGGAAGGACCAGTGAAGGCGATCACGTTATACCTCTTGTTATTCCGGCGAACATCAGGCAGCTTCCTTCCCTGTCACGAACGCACCTTAATTCGTGGCAATTAGCGGTGCTGCATGCTGTGTGTGCATACAGTTTGCAGCCGCTGTATGCTAATGGTGAGATAATCGGCCATTAAGTCTTACCATACTCGAGGGATTATCCCGGCAAATAACGGTGTTTTAACCTTGGCTACTTGTAGCGCGATGAAATAATATTGCAGACTGTTTAGCTCGTTTTACGCAATTAATAATAATTATTGACGCGACATATTGCGCATGTTGCGCATTTTGCGTACACACATATATATATGTGTATATGTACAATTGTCCCATTGTCGTCGTATAATTAATGCCATTATATTCCGCGGATAATTAACGCGCGTCGTGTGCCCGCAATTTGCTCGGCTTTGTTGGCAGTTTTATTTTATCGCGGCACGTGTCTTATACCGTATCACCGAAATGATCGATATTTCTAGGGAACTATACGATATCGCAATGTCGCGAGTTTAATTGTCCTAATATGTGTGCTGTGCAATTCACGAAGCGCAGTTCGCTTTCGTTAATTTTTATTGATTACCATTCGTGCGGGATTACATCGGAAAAATCCAGTCGCTTTCTCTCGACGTAAGTATCCCTTTGTCGGGAAAATAGAGAAAAGGACAGTCGTTTCGCTACAAGCCGTTAACCTAATTAACAGCGCCGTAATCGCGTCGGCACTGCGTGTGTGTATAACGCTCGTATGCGCGCCGTACACCTTTCGGGTACACGCATGGCATACGCGAGCTTATAGACGAGTGCTTATTAAGTCTGACGATGCCGGAGGAGTGCAAGCAACGAAAAGCAGCCCGGCTGCGCCATCAGACCTTGCCAAGCCTCGCTGTGTTTGCAAAAGTCACGTCAAATGCATCAGACACCCGGTGCAACATTAATTGTTCCGCAATATTCTCGTGGCCTCAGGCAGCATATTAGCGGCAGCGCGGCGTGGAAATTATGCGACGTGTATGTGAGTCGATCGTGGATAAAATTTCACACGCCGCCGCGGCCGTGCCGTGCCGTGCCACGTCTTTCTCCGTCTTGACGTAATTAATGTCTTGAATAATATTGTTACTTCGATACAGGCGAAACTTTTTCTCTCTTTCTCTTCTTTTTTTTCTTTAATGAACCTTGGCCATTATTTCTCGCAGTCCTACTTCTTTTGGGAATGGCATTTCCCAGCGCTGCATTAAGCAAGATAAAAGTGACGATTCGTGTCTCGATGTTACTCGTTGCCCGGCGAAAATGAGAACGGACCGCTTCGCTTCGCGAGAACCAGACAGGGGGAGAATGACAATGAGGGATGAAAACGTCTTAGGTTCTCTGAAGAACGTTTAATCTTATTTACGAAAAGCTCATTAAAATTACTGATTACGCTCGCAGACTTTCAAAGAATTTTCAAACAGGATTATCATTCTGTTTACCATACGCCATTGTCATCCCTTGTCGGTCGGAATAATGATATGCAACGCGATAGTTTACAGTTGTATACTTTTCACACTGCAACATCGATTATGCTTAGGCTTCTCTCGCGTGTGAGAAAGTGCGGTAAATTCTTCTCTTTCGCGCTGAGCGCGATTCTACGCACGAAAACTTTTACACACAGCGACTGATATTTTTGCTTAAAATTAAACACACACACACACACGCACGCACATATACAGGCAGAGCGTAATTACCTCATATCTCATTGAACATTATAATATTTTGCTCAATAAATATGGATTTTCTGACAATTGTAAGCGTTATTTTTAAGAGAATAAAATCATCGTAAAGCATAAATAAATATATGATACATCTCTCCGTTTCAATCCTTCCACATAATTGTGCCGAACGTGAGAGATATCCTTGCAGATATTGTCCCGATAGTGAAATAAAATTATCTCATTTCCCCTCTTGATTTATTGGTCGCATTTAATGTTGTAATTATTAATCATGAAATTAT